GGTACACGGCCAGGGGGCGTGGCTGTGTATATCAGCATTACAGACACACAGACAATGGGCTACTATATATATGATGAGGATAGGGTTAGTACAGCTCCCACTTTGCTTTACTCTTGTTCCAGTGGACGGTAATTTATTGCTGTGGCCTGGTTCCACAGCAAATTATGACACACTCTGAGGTAATTCAGTCAAGTTTCCTCCCATGCCCAATCCACTTCCTAAGTGGATGGTAGTGAGTGCCCACAGCATTATCGCTGAGTGCCCACAGCATTATCCCCCTGCACGGGCATAGTTCAAGTCACAGTCTAATTCTAAGTGATTATCAGGGTTTTGTTTTTAAATTCATGTGGAATAAATAGAATGTAGATAATTATGTTATCCCTTGATTTTACCATATGTTTCTCTCTGTTTTTCAGAGGAAAGAAACTCGGAAAGTCTATCAGTACCAGTTCCACAAGTGGAATGGTTTGGACCTTCCTGAAAACCCCAAAGACTTAGTCACTATGATTCTGAACCTCAAACAAAAACTTCCAGAAAAAAGTATCACTGAAGACAACAGATGCAGCCGGAGCATCCCAATTGTCATTCACTGCTGGTGGGTGTGGATGCTGCACATATTTTAGTGCATTTCTAGGGTCTGGTTTTACTTGTCAATAGCAGTTTTATAAATCTTAGCTTTGCTTCAAAGCTTTCCAAAATCCTGAAAAGTAAATTCACCCTTCCAATGTATGCCAAATTCTCTCACCTGGGCTCCTATGACAGACCATTCACCCGTATCACAAGCAACATTGCAAAGTGGCCACAACCTCCCCCCCATTGAGATATGGGTGAGAGTAGAAGATGAGAACTATGTAAAAAGTAGATGCTACTGGTTGGTACAAAGACATGGCCAGAGAAAAGTCATCTCAGCACGTTCTTACAGTGTTGTATTGTCAGGGGTCCTTATGAAGCGTACAGTGGACTATAAGGCTGCACTTACCAGCTGGAAAGGCCAGCCTGGTTCAGTGGTAAATTTCACCAAAACTAGCACACAGAAGTGGGTATGGGTTTGGTTCCTTTGTTGGCCTTTATACCTCTCTCATGGCTGGCTGTTACCATTGGCATGCTCTTACATGCTCTGAATTGGGAGTGACTTGAGGCACCAATATAGTGGCACAATGCCTCTTTAGGGCTCTGTGCTCCATTGGGAGGCAATGTACTCATCTTGTAAGGCCAATCTGCTATTCTGGCCAGTAGGAGCATATAGGGGTGGAACAGGAAAGGAAGAGTTATAGCTACAATTACTCTCTACTCACTGGTAAACATCCTACTAGCAGCCCTGTAGTCCCCAAGGGCAGGAACTAAATCTGATTGATACTCATTCAGCTACAAAAAGAGAGAAGAGGCTGCTCTTCCCCCTTCTCCAAATAAAAGGCTATATAAGGGCTAGATAGTATCTAACACAATAAAAAGCCAACATCCTAACATCATTCGTGATTACAAGATCTCCTTCCAGTTAGGAATATTACAGAGATGGGAATCTTTGTGACTGTTGTCAGTACAATAAAGTAAACCTAACTGCTAGTGATAGGTTGTTCTGATTTTCAATTCAATTACTGTGTATCTTCTAGTGATGGATCTGAACAAACGGGTGTGTTTTGTGCCTTGTTGACTCTCTTGGAAAGTGCAGAAACAGAAGAAGCGATAGATGTCTTCCAAGTGGTGAAATCTCTTCGACGTGCCAGGCCGGGAATGGTCCCCTCCTTTGTAAGTAAATCCCATGATTTGACGGAACAATTCAATAGATTTGCTTATTTTTAATCATGAATAAAGGTTTCAGGAGGTAGCCGTGTTAGTCTGTAACTAAAAAAAACTTAAAAAACAACAATGGTCCTGTAGTGCCTTAGGGTATGTCCACACAGCAGGGCTAAAATCAAATGAAGCTACGCAACTTCAGCTATGTCAATTATGTAGTTCAAGTTGAAATAGCTTAATACAGCTTAATTCAGTGTACACAGCAGGAAGTCAAAGGAAGAACACTCTTCCTTTGACTTCCCTTACTCCTTGTGAAATGAGGGTTACAGAAATTGGAGTAAGAAGTCCTTCAGCTCACCATTATTTTGAACTAATAACTTGTGGTATAGACATACACTATGTAATTTTGGAATAAAGTCAGTTATTCCAAAATAACGCTGCTGTGTAGACGTACCCTTAGACACTAATAAAATATATAAATAGTATCATGAGCTTTCATGGGATATCTGAAGTGGGTCGTGCCCACGAAAGCTCATGATACTATTTATATATTTTCGTTTATCTCTAACACAAATATATGTGTGGGCAGGGGACTGGACTCAAAGTCTTTTCAAAGAGGTCCCTTCCAGTCCTAGTATTCTATGATTCTAAGATGCTACCAGACCAATGTTGTTTTTTAAGTTCTAACCAAGAATGTTCTCATAACCACTGGCATTGTTTTTACATAGGAAACAAGTATCATAACATCCCTAGTTATTCATCGGCAATTGTGAATTAGCTGATAAGAAGAAACTACAGGCTGAACCTCTTTAGTTCGGCACTCTTGGGACCTGACCAGTGCCAAACCAGAGAATTTGCCAAATCATAGGATGTTAACGATGTCTAACAGCATTACCAACACTTTCACTGGTTACTGGGCTTTTAGAAGACATTTAGGAGTAAATTAGTGCTAAATTAGAACACTGAGACAGGACTGTTGGCTGTAAACAAACTTTATGGAACCACAGGAAACTTGCACGCACCCATGCTAAGTGCACATTAGGCTAACTAAAATCATGCCCGACCATGGTTGTTGCTGGACCAGAGAGTGCCAGATTAGAGTGGTTCAACCTATAATCTGCAACCTATCCACAGCTATAATGATCTGTTTCTTGAAACTGAAAGCTCAACAGTGTGCCCTTATAGCTAAGAAGGCTAGCAGTATACTGGAGTGTGTTAGAAAGAGCATTGCCAGCAGATCAAGATAAGTGATTATTCCCCTTTATTGGGCACTGGTGAGGCCACATCTGGAGTATTGCGTCCAATTCTGGGCCCCATTACAGAAAGGATGTGAACATATTGGAGAAAGTCCAGGGAGGGCAACAAAATGATTAGAAAGCTGGAGCACATGACTTGAGGAGAGGCTGAGGGATTTGGGCCTGTTTAGTCTACAGAAGAGAAGAGTGAAGGGGAATTGAAAGCAGCCTTCAGCTACCTGAAAGGGGGTTCCAAACAGGATTGAGCTGGGTTATGCTCAACTGTGGCAGATGACAGAACGAGGCGCAATAGTCTCAAGTTAAAGTGGGGGAGCTCTAGGTTGAATATTAGGAAAAACTATTTCACTAAGAGGGTGGTGAGGCTCTGGAATGGGTTATGGAGGCAAGTGGTGGAATCTCAAAAACTCAAAGTTTAAAATCCCATCTTGAAAAATGGGATGATTTAGTTGGGATTGGTCCTGCTTTTAGCAGGGAGTGGACTCGATGACCTCCTGAGGTCTCTTCCAACCCTATGATTCTATGAACAGTACATGTTGTAAACTGTTAACTTTGTAGGCTTGGATGTTGGCAGCTGCCTATGTTAAATCAAAGCACATCTTCCATTGAATTCTATAGGAGTCGGGTGCCTAACTCCCTTAGGCAGGCTAGAGAATATCCTATTTATTTTCTGAAGAGTGCACAGAAGGAACTGCTTTCTTGCTTTCATTCTTCTCCCTGACAATCTGTATTGTAAATCAGAGTTGGACAGTAAGGGCACATCTACACAACAGGGATAAAGCCAAAATAAGCTATGCAATTTGAGCTAAGTCAGTTGCATAGCTTAAGTCGAAATAGCTTATTTTGGCTTTTCGTGCTATCTATACAACAAAAAGTCCGAGAAAGAGCACTCTTCCTCCAACTTCCCTTACTCCTTCTACAATGAGGATTACAGGAGTCAGAGTAAGAAGTCCTCCAGCTCAACATTATTTTGCCATTGTCAAAATAACTGCTTGTAGTATAGACACGAACTATGTTATTTCAGAATAACATCAGTTATTCCAAAATAGCACTGGTGTGTAGACAGGCCATCTGCAGTTCACCAGGGTTAGCCCCTGGTGGGCTAGCAGACACTTTATTTATCTGCTCACTGCTCCCATTGGGTGGGAATGGTGATCTACAGCCAATGGGAGCTGCAAGCACATGAGAACACGCATGGAAATAAAGTGTCTGGTGGCCCACTAGAGGCTAACCCTGGTAAACCCTGTCCAGCCCATGGGCTGCTTCTTACCCACCTCTGCTCTAAATCATCTAGTTGGGCTAAATCCACTGAGGTTCAGTAGAGTACTGAACAGTAGTCATGCACCTGCTTTATTCTCCTTTAAACACACTTTTGACAAGTTGCTATGTGAATCAAGAGTCCTGAATTCTGAAAAACTGCCTTGGGAATGGGGTGATTCATCAGTAGTGATCTACTGATCTACTGGAATTAGGAATACCCTCAGTGCTATGTCACTGTAAACTCAGAATCGAGCATAACAAGGAGGTGGGCCAACAGGCATGGAAATTGCCTGCTGTGTGCTTCGGTATGATGGAAAGCACTTCAATAGCTAGGATGGCTGATATTTTTTCTCTTGTCTTATCTGAATTAAGATAATTAGCGTGCATTTCATCCACACTAATCCCTTCTCTTTTTGTATTAGGAACAATACCAATTCCTGTATGATACTATTGCTAGCATCTACCCTGCACAGAATGGACAAGTAAAGAAGAACAGCAAGCAGGAAGATAAATTTGAAATCGACAATGAAGTAGAAAAAACAGATCAGGAAGCTAATTTGATTACTATCGATCTCAACTCACTGGAGTCAGAGCCCAATAGGAGTATGGAAGCGGGTGAAGATTCCAAATCTGCAGATGGCCCACAAGGAACAGAGAGCTCTGCAAATGGACCCAAGACTCCAGTTTTAACTGAGAGTGCATAGAAAAATATATTAAATTTGATATAGATTTGGATATACAAAATAATCTTTACAGAATATGTACTAGAGATTTGTTCATAATTTTTCAGAGGTACGGTATGGAAAGAATACTTGAAATGTGTGGATAATGTAATGCACTGTGAAAATATTGTGTAGATTTGGATTGTATTCCTTTCAAATTATTTGAATTAATTTTGATCTTTTTACCAATTTGTACAGTATAATTCTGATTTTAATTATGGTCTGGTATTGAGGAATGGTAAGAAAAAAAGCTAACTTTTACCAATCTTATTTTTTGTTATAAGAAAGTAAGTAGCCAGGACTGAAACTTCTAATAATGTACAGTCATAAATATAAAGTTAGAAATGTGGCAAATATGATTTAAACCCCGCAGAAAGGGATGGGAGTATGTGGGGGGCACCCAGATAGCAATTAACATTTTGGTGGGAGTATAGGGGGTAGTGCACCTCCCGAGTGCTACCTACAGTCACCTCTGAGGTTTTTTTTAACTAATTTTGTCTTTCTAACTTTAAATGGACTTAGTGGATAAGGAATATTGGCCTGAATTTCAGAAGTGCAATTCCTATTGACATTAGTTAGGGTTGGGGTTGTGTTTGCTTTGCAGGTACTTTGCAAAAAAAAAAACCAACAAAAACAAACCAAAAAAGCTCCCCATATGGAGCATAGCTTATAACTCCACTGAAGGCTTTGGGGATTTAACTGGTCCACTCACCCATACTGACCAGGAAGGAATGTAAGCTTTGCATTTTTCTAAATGGCCTCAAGATGTCCTCGTTGCTTCACACAAATCCATCTGAGGCTTTAATAGTTGATTCTGAAAGAAGAACAAGAGTATGGACTTGTAACCCACACACCTAGTGTGGTTCACTGTCCTGTGCAGAGGCACTTTGACCACGGACAGAAACAGATAAGAACAAGGGAGCTCTACAGCCTGAGCTGAGAGCCAGCTGGCTTTATAGCTCAAGATATAGAGGTTCCTATGCTAAGCTCTAGAGGCCCCAGGTTCAAATTTACTTGTGAGGTTATGGAGTGATTGCAGAAACTGTGATAAAAAGTTCATTGATTTGACATCAGATGACAAGTATTACAACTGCTTTTTGTACTTTTTTTTCTAATTTAAAAGGTGTTTCTGCAAAAGTTTTTGTAGGCTCCTTATAGTATATGCTAGTTCTATAACATGCTACAGATTTTATTTAGTAGTTTTATAATATGATTATTGTTTGTATGTTACAATCTGGATTGTTATACTAGTGCTCACTGGTTTCAGCCTACACTTTTAAAGCCAAATAAAAAGGACAGTTAATACATTGCACAGTGGGAATTATTCTGAAATATGTAAAACACTCTGTAAGGTTACTTATCTGTAAAAGAATGAAGGGACCTAAAATGCACTTGCTCATTGTAGACTGTGCAAATGCGATGTTTTTATTTGCACGCAGCACGTGGTTTTGTTGTTCCTGGTATCTTCACAGAATCAGTAGCATGGCTTAATTCTTGTATCAGTCACTCCTTCTGAAAAGATGAGATAATTTACAAAGGAAGGTAAGTATTAGTTTCCTCAGCTGTAACATGGAGATAAGGAATGCAGTAGTGATATGAGTTATGCAAGGTCATCCAACAAGGGGTATACCTTGGACTTCAAACTCTTCACTCCAATGTACTATTATTTGGACCACACATTCATAATAATACCTAGGTAGAAAGTCAGGCCAATAGGCTACATGTTAACTTGGTTAAAAAACACTGACTCTGAAAGCTGCCAGAAAAATAGATTGATCCCTCTGAGAGCCAAAGAATGCAAGTTTAAACTTAATTTTCCAGTTTTTCTACGTTAGATGCTTCATTCTTTGCCTAGGCAAATAAGCATCTACTCAGCAGTTGATGAAAGAGCAGCAAGAATGCGCAGACAGTGGGACCTTCCTTACCTGCAAGTTGAACTTTCCTTTCTATCCAGCCAAACTTGCATTGGCTGATGAAACCTTTCAGTGGACAAGAGCACTTGTAGCCAGAATATGGAAACAGGTTTGGTGTCTTAAGCCTTTATTGACCTTGGCCATGTTTGCCTTGTCTCTCTGGGTACCCCTTAGAATAGGGGTGAGGTTTAACAGTTAATTCGAACTAAGGGGTTTATCTCAGAATCTCGCTTCTCTGCCGCATGTAGACATGGGCAGTTACTTCGGGCTAGTCAGTTTCCAAAATGGTAACCAGCCAGGAGTATGCTAATCAAGCGCAGGATATTTAAATCCCGCGCTTCATTAGCAATTTCGGTCGCCCTCATTAGCCTCCCTAGTTCAAACTAGGAGGTTAGTGTAGACATACCCAGAGAGACAAGGCAAACATGGCCAAGGTCAATAAAGGCTTAAGACACCAAACCTGTTTCCATATTTTGTGAAGAGCAATGTAGCAGAGCTGCAAATGGTAAGGGGCAGCTCTGGGGATGAAGACCTCCAAACTATTCCTGTATTTTCAGAGGCAAGAATTTGAGAAGTTTTCTGGAAAATGTGAATGCCTCCAAGGGAATGGGCTACAGATAAGGCTGAGCCCGTGTTAACTCCACGGCATAGTTCAGGTATGTCTACACTGAATGCTTATTTCAGAATAAGCTATTCCAGAAGAAACACTCTGAAATAGCTTATTTTGAAATAGTGCATCTACACAGCAAATGCCCTTCAAAATAACAATGAGCTATTTAGAAATAGAATTTCCGCATTCATTGGACACTGAGCCGCATTTAAAGCCAGCCGGAAGCACTTCAGGCAGAGCATCAGGACAGCAATTACTTCATATCTAAAGCTATCTGAGGTTTGAGATAGCCCTGTACAGCCGTGTCTCAGGTTCTTCACATTTGCCTACCTCCTCAAGCAACAGCAAAGCCTTTTCTCTGCCTTCTCTGGTACACCTCAGCTGTCTAGCCATGGAGCTGGACCTTCCTGCTAGTAGTCAATGGTTTTTACAGGTTGTGCTGTACCTCCTGAAGCTCTTTCTGCGGGATGCCTTCGAGGCCATGCAGGAATACAACCCCCAGCTCATTGCTCCTCTCTCTGTGGGCACTGCTCATGCAGTATGACCCCACCCGCCCTCTCCTGCACACCGTGGACCGCCGCTCCTGGCCTCTGGACACCAGTTCCAATTGGTAAGACTGGATCATGATGCAGCAGGGGGGCATCCAGCAGTGGCCCAGAATTTCCAGATATGGAAGAACACCTTTCTGGAACTGTGCCCCTACCTGCAGGTGATGGGACACCCACATGAGACCCGGCCATCCCCCTCCCTCCAGGTCGCCATTGCCTTCTGGAAGTTCGCCATGCTGGACAGCTACCAATTCATCAGGAACCAGTTTGGCGTGAGAAGATCAACTGTCAGGGCCGTGCTCATGCAGGTATGGCACTCTTGGGCTATTGTCCCCAGGAGGGGGAGAACTTCTGGAATGGGGTTCCCTAGGGAAGGAGGTGGTGGTGGAGGAAGCTCCCTCCCCATGATGTTTTTCAGTTTTGCCTTCACAAAGTCCTGACAGGGGATGAGATAAGTAGGGGGTTGTTCCTAGTGGGGAGGAGGGAGAGGGGGCGGGGAAGAGGAGGGATGGGCTTGTGGATCTCTCAAGGGCCCTGTGATTTTCTGTTTATTTGTCTCCTTCCACAGGCCATACAGGCCATCAACACCATCCTGCTGGGCAGGATCATCAGCCTGGGAGAGGTGGACCCTATCATCATTGGTTTTGCCGCTATGGGCTTCCCTAGGTGTGCGGGCAGTGGAGTGCGGATATTGATGGCACCCACATCCCCATCTGGGCCCCCAACCTCAGGGCAGCTAAATACATCAATCACAAGGGGTGATTCTCGCTGGTCCTGCAGGCCATCACAGACAACTGCGGGCAGTTCACCAACATCTACATCAGGTGGTTGGGAAAGGCACACGACACTCTTGTCTTCTGCAACTCCAGCCTCTTCCAGAAGCTGCATGCCATCACTTTTTTCCCTGACCACACCATTAGGGTCAGGGGACAGGGACATTCCAATCTGTATTGTAGGGGAGGCAACCTACCCTCTGCTCCCCTGGACACATGGACCAAAGCAAAGGACTCTTCAATGCCAGCCTCAGCCAGGCCTGCATTGTGGTGGTGGACACCTTCGGGCGTCTAAAGGGGAGGTTCCGCTGCCTCTTCAGCTACTTGGATGTCAGGGAGCAGAACATCCACCAAGTGGCAACGGCGTGTTGTGTGCTTCACAAGATCTGTGAAAGCAGGGGGGAGACATTCCTCTCAGGGTGGGGGTGGAGGCGAATCAGATCAGCAGGGCCTTTGAGCAGCCAGGCATTGCTGCCACCCAGCAAGTTGTGCGCATCCAAGAGGCCCAGAGGGAGAGTTTTTCACAAGGACCCCAGTGACACTCTCCCCTGGGCCTCCCCACAAAGGGCCTGTGCATTGCCCCTCTTTGCCTGTCCTCCCATACCCCTCCTTTCTCCCATCCCCGCTCCCCTGAAGGGATAATAAACTACAGTATTTATTTTCAAAAAATAAACTCTTCGTTTTGAATTGGGGTAAATGTAATTTGGGAAGAACCTGGGAGGAGAGAATTGGAGGGAAGAGGGGAGGCTCAGGGCTGTGGTTGGCAGTGGTTTTAGGGTCCTGAGAGTTGCCTGAGTCAGTGCTGGCAGCTGTTGGAGGCTGGACTGGAGTGGTGGGCTCCACCATGGCAGCAGGGAAGGCTGTGCAGGGTCCTGCTGTGTGGCACAATCGAGCAGGGCCTGCTTCATGCCACAAGCCTGTCACAGGATGGAATCACCACCACCCTGCCTCCTGCTGGCCGCCTCCTTCTGGCTGGTGTCTCCTCGTGTCCTCACTTCCCTCTCCAGTCTGGACCCATGTCCCTCTTGGATCACGGTGTCCTCTTCAGAACACTGCCCACTCCAATGACTCTTGGCCCCCTTCTTGTGGGGAGAGGGGGAAAGGGAGGATGGGTTATCAGTCTCTGAACTCCAGGGGACACCCAATTTCCCTGTACCCTCTTTGCCTCAGTGACCCACTGCCAGTCTTCATCTAGCCCCTGTGTCAGGGGAAAACTGCAGTCTATAATGGCCACTCATCATTGGCAAGAGGGTGTGGACCTGCTTCCTTTTCCTATCATAGCTGTCCCCCTGCAGCCTGGTAGTGGGGTCAGGCCAAAGCTCTCCAGGAGTGCTCTACCTCCAAGAAGCTTCCTGCTTCCCAGGTAACCAGGTCTCTCCTACTCTCCAGCCAGAGCAAGAGTAAGTCCTCCTCTCTCACTGCAGGAGCCCTTCTTTATATAGCCCCAGCTGGGTCCTAATCAGCAATAACTGCCTCAGCAGAGGCTTCGCTCTTAGCCCTCGCTCAGAGCTG